TTGACGTTGCTTTTCAGGAAGTCGATCAGCTCCTTTTTCGTTTCGAGAGGTAGCTCTGATCCGATGTTCACTTGTTTCTCGGGATCAGAGTCGTCGATGCTAACTCGTTCGGTTAGGTTCCTAGGGGGACCTCGAATATTTTGTTGCATCTCTCGACCTTCCTGGATCTGTAATTGCTATTGAGGTGATTCCTTGAGGATTCCGAATCCTCCCAAGTAACAGATCCTGGAGATCTTCTGGCTACCTCGTACGGTGGTTATTCCGTCCGGTGTTGGAAATTTCACGCATTGGTGATAAGTGGAGGCTACTGCCTTCATCTTATGGATCCAAGGTCTTCCTAGGATCGCATGAAATGGAGAAGGCNAAGTAACAGATCCTGGAGATCTTCTGGCTACCTCGTACGGTGGTTATTCCGTCCGGTGTTGGAAATTTCACGCATTGGTGATAAGTGGAGGCTACTGCCTTCATCTTATGGATCCAAGGTCTTCCTAGGATCGCATGAAATGGAGAAGGCCTGTCGATGACTACAAAATTGGTCATTTTCATGATTCCTCCAGCTATGAACGGGAGTTTGATGGTTCCCAAGGAGGTAACTATTTCTCCGAAGAAACCTACAAGGTTAGCTTTCTGACCGATAATTTCGTAGTCATCTATTTCCATCCCTTTCAGGACATTATAGAAGATAAGATCGACCGAGCTTCCGGTATCAACCATCAGCTTAGGCACCTCGTAACCTGCTATGTTCAGGGTGACGATTAAGGCGTCATCGTGAGGTCTGTCGAGATTTGACGTCTCGCTCTCCCAGAAAGAGATCTTAGTATTGGTTTCGGGATTGGGAGGCTTATATTGAGCTCTAGAAACAGCCTTCCGCACATGGCTCTTGATTGAATTAACTTAGTCCTGACATATATCGGAGCCTCCGAGGATATAATCCACTCTTGAGCTAGGGCTCGACTGAGGCGGAGGTTTGCTTAGGAGGGTCTCGATTTGCAGGCTCTTCCCTTGGGGAAATTTCCCAAGAATCATGTCAACTCTTTTCTTGGGAGCTGGCGGTGGCGAATTTGTTTCCTTCTCAGGTGATCTTTCACGTTTCGGGGAGGTGTCCCTGGGACCTCTTTTCTGGTAAGGAGGTGGTTTTTTTAGTTCCACATCCTTTAGTTCCCCAGCTACAAATTTAGCTGCCAACTGTCGTTGGAGGTCCCAGCACTCCTCGGTTGAGTGCCCTTTTCGATCGTGATAAGAGCAATGTTTGTTCTCATCGTAGCCTTTCGTCCAGGGAGTTTTGCTTGTCGCGGCAACAGGTTTTTCCTGTTGGGCTTCCTCGACAGCATATGAGTGTTCTCCCTGGGTTTGATGGTTCCGTGAGCTCCCTTTTCTAGAGGGTCCTTTTGCTTCCGAGGTTTCACCTTTCGGGTGATTCTGGGATTTCTTGTGGATTTTATACAGTGCAGTTGTTTCTTCCTCCAAGGTAATATATCTCGAGGCTTTGTGAAGAGCATCATCGATAGTTGGAGGAGGGCTGAGTGTTAGCTCGGACCAGAATTCTGATTTATACCAGAGGCCTCTTCTAAGGGCTTCGTTGGCTACTTGATCGTTGGGGTTCGAGAGCTTAGTTCTAACTGCTCTGAATTTCTCGATATAGATTCGTAGCGAATCTCCCATTCCTTGCCTGATGTTCCAGAGGTCAGCCTCGGAGGCTTGCTTAAGGATATGGGTCGAGTATTGTTTCATGAAGGCGTTAGTGAGCTGGTCGAAGTTATCGATTGAGATTGGCTCGAGGCTCGAAAACCATTCGAGAGCTGTTCCGACCAGGTTCTCCGCAAAGGTTCTGCAATAACCTGCATCGCATTCTTCTCTTGTGAAATGAGCTTTTACTATAGCTAAGCGGAAGGCTCTCAAATGAGCCTTGGGGTCTGATGTCCCGTCATATTCGGGAATCCTAATCTTTCGGGTATCTCTTATGTAAGAGCTAGCGATTTTATCTGTGAATGGGGTTCCACGGGTTTCCTCAATCAAGCTCTCGATTTCGGGAGCTGAGCTCGTTGCTTTATGCACTTGAGCGTTCAGCTTCTGGAGGGCTGCGTGAGTTTGCTCCATGTATCGGCGAATAGCCTCGGTCCTTCTAGGGGAAGGACAGTTGGGTCTTCGCGAGGAATCTGATGAGAGGATTCTTGATGGAGTCGAGTGTAATCGGTATCCCAAGCGTTAGGTGGGCTACATCGCTCGTTAGCTCTATAACCACCTTGAGGGACGCGACCTGGGGGTGAGCTGTAGGATCAGCTTCCGCCCTCGGGTTATCTCGGCTAGAGGTTGCGCTTCCATTTTGGTAGGCTGAGGTCGGTGCCCTACCTCTAGGGGGGGAGACATTCCTTCTCCAGACCTAAAAATAGGTGGCGGAGGCGGCAGTCGTGTGCTGTGTTCATGAACCCTATTGGGTGCTGAGCTGGTCGTCGCTATGTTACTTCCCATAGCGCTAGTTATAGGTGGACTAAATACCGGGGTTGTCCCAGTAAGAGGTGTCCGGAGAACAGGCTCTTGCCCATTACGAGCAATGCTGTTGGGGGAAAAGTCCAGGCGTCCGCGAGGGAACGTGGGTTCGGTGAGTCGATCTCGGAAGGCGATTCCTGAGCCTTGACGTTGTGACGGATGAGTTGTCTCGGTTAGAGATCTAGTCACCTCTTCAAACCGTTGTTGCCGGGCAGTTAGCTGTTGCAACGTACGCACATTATCCTGAGCTCTTTCTACCAACTGCACCATCATTCGACGCATTTCGGATAGCTGAGCTTCCGAGTGATGTGGAGCGTGTTGACGTTGGGGGTTCTCAAGGGGCGTAACCCCGGTGTTGTTTCCACTGGAAGACCTTGGGTTAGCTATCCCAGTTTGGTTCGGTTGAGCATTAGCCGGAGGCTGTTGCTTGGATCGGTGATCGGCGGATCGAGGTTCCGGATCTTGAGGGTCCAGGTCTCCCCTGTTTGGTGAGCCATCGATCTGGATCGCGGGATCCGGGATTGATGGGTTCGTTGCCTGGTTGGATGGATCCATTCTCAAGTTATGGAGTGAAGGATTCAATTATCTTGTCCCCACAGACGGCGCCAAAATGTGAGGGATAAAACTCACTTCCTAATTTAGGTTAGGTTAAGATTGGAGAAAAGATAACGTGGACTGAATCCTGTTAGAACTTAGAGAATGAATTATGATTGTATTGAATGTTCTTGACGAAGAATGATTACAAAGATGATTAATAAGATGATTCTGATGATTACAAAGTATTATGGGAAAGATTTATGAGCAATAATATGTGTAAAAATGGTAGAATGAATGAATCCCTTTCTCTTCGTTCCTTCCTCCTTTAAAGAGCCTCAGGTCACGTGTAACTTCTCCTGATTAGTCTCCGAGATTCTCTCCGTAAACTGAGGGATTTGCAACAGCTTCCTTTTGACCGAATCATACATCTCTATCTTCGTTTCCTAGGCTGTTTTATTAGGTTCCTACGAAAGAAGCCGGACTCTTCTCTGTGACCTCTTTCTCGTGACCTCTTTCTCGTGACCTCTTTCTCGTGACCTCCCTGGGAATAGCTTCCGTCCTAAGGTGAATTGTATTCTTCTTCGGGATGATAACCCATGTGCGGCCCATTATTAGATTTGCTCAACTGGTTTGCTAACTTCAGCCGACGGGCCATATTTGGGCCCAACAAAGGTCAATCAAGGGAAAGACAAGTTTGTGGTACATGTTCGAGATAATACTTCTTGTACTTGCAGGGAGTATGAAGTTAGTGGGATAACTTGTTGTCATATCATGGCTGCAATGTGGACTGGATATAAGGACACCAAGCTTCCGGAGACAATGATTGCGGATTGGTATTCAATGGAGAACTGGAAACTTTGATATTCATCCTTTCTATTTCTTTTGAATGGGATGGAGCTCTCTTCTCCCTCCTCTTTTCCCACTCCACTTTCTTGTCCTCGTGATCCACTTATCTCAATTTCTCTCCCAGTTTCTTGTAGTTATCCTTCCTTGCCTCTGCAAATAATCAAAAACCAATTTCACATACATTGTAAATAACTGTATCATTACTATTTTGTGGGAACAAAATGATAGAGATTTAATAATAACTCAAGCTTCATGTTACCTTCATCAAGGGCTACTTCAGTCTAAGTTGAGGCAGCTTCTATTGCTAAGGGAGCCACTGGATTACCTTCTTCATCAAACTTAACCGTGGACCCACTTGGTCTGTGCCGGTTGATCTTCAGCTTCTTGTTCTTCAAAACCCGAGTTTCTGGCTTGAAACTCAACAGGAAATTTTATTCACAATATGGTTTGAAAGAATACAGAAAATAGTATATGGTATGTAAAAACCCATACATGGGTTTTTGTTCGTCCTTGTTTGATTTTTCTCCTCCCTTGCCCTCTACATCTGGCCTGAGAGCAAAACCCTCTTCCAGTATATTTTCACCATTGATTGAGAAGAAACAAAGGATTGATGGCAAGGAAGCAAAGGATTGATTAGAAGGCTTAATTAATCGCCATAAGGGAGGAGAAGAAATCGAAACTCAGGAACTCGAAACGAAAAGAAGTCGAAACTTATGCTTTCTAGATTTCTCTGCAATATTAACCCATTACCAAACCAGAAATTACCAAATACAAGATTAGAACTTCTGACCGGAAACCAAACCTGGTTTCCATGAAATCCGAATCCGACGTGGATGTTAGGACAACTCTTATTTGCTAAATATATATGTCGACGTGGACACTATAAAAGGGGTTTATTTAGCCTTTTTAATAGTGTAAGATTTGATTTAGGTTTTATAGATTTTACCAACTTTCTTCGTAATCAGACTTCCAAGATACACATCTTATTCTTTTAATTATCTCTAATAGAAACACTTATTTTATTTAGTATCATATGACAATATTAACTGTTCATTAGAAAACAAATAATGAAAATGCATTTCCTGTTAACGGTTGATGACAAAAAAAAGAAATTTCTATTTGTATCTGCTTCAACGAGATTTTGGTCTGTATAATTTGACCACACGCATATTTGTAGGTTGAACCGGCCTGGCGTTTGTATCTGAATACTGCAAATTATTAGCAAACACATATCAGTAAACAGTTGCAAAACTCATGATGTAGAACACATATTTCAATAAAACTTACATCGTGGACAGCCACTCGGAGTGCTTCCACTTGGGTTCTGGATACAGTCCTCACCTAAAATTTTACGCAAATAAAAATAAACTAATGGATATGATATAAATGGTCATAACTAAATTAAGGGAAATTTACAAAATAATAGGTATATACAGTGAACGAAAGCAGAGGCTAAAAGGTGGGGGGGGGGGGGGGGGGGGTTACAAAACTAACTTCGAAAATAAGAGTTATAAGTGTTAATATAAAATATTGTACCTTTTTGATGACGGTCCAAATAACATTTTGGGTACAAGGAGGAATGGTAAGTGATCCAATATATCTATAATATTTTCTGCTCCCAAACTTGATTTCCTTTGGATCTATCATTCCTATATTTATCTCCGCCTCATTGTGGTCTGTGATCGCCCACAATTTATTTTCCAACTAACCAGAAAAAACAATAAAGAAACTTGGTTGGAGATAATTATTATCCAGAAGCTCAAATGTTTAATAAGTCACAATTATGGATCGATTTATACCAAGCTGAGGAAAGAGTCTGGTCTTCCGATTCTGTAAAGCACTGTGACTACAGCCAAGCTACCGTTTATGCTTTCGTGAACCATATGCAGTTCCAGAGCAAATCTACCATATTTAAGATTAACTTTTTAAAAAATTACACAAAAGTTTTCAAATGTCTTTTGCAAACTTGTTTTTATTTTTTTCCTAAAGATCGTGTAAGGCCGCTAGCTCTAAAACGTCATCACAACTCTACGTTAGCTTAAATCAAATTCAATAGTAAAACAATAAATTATATATAAATTTATTTATATATATATATGCGTTTAAGAAATAAAAGATATTCGTAAATGTGTTTCAAGATATTATTTGTCCCTCTTTGGACTAAATATGTGCATTCGAATGTTGCGTACCTTCTCCCATTGATCGTATGCTCAGACGGAGAATGCCAATGAAGCTGATGGAGTTGATATTCAGTATTATTGATCCTAATACTACCTGGCGCTTCTTCAAATCTCAGCTGCACAAAACAAATATGAGTACATATAAAAACTATGTAATTTAAAAATGAAGAACCAAGTGGGTGGCCCAGTGTATTTATTTTTGGAGTAGGTAGTTGACTCGTCATATGGATCCATGATAGGGATCAAGTTCCACCATCTACGTAAACTGATGTGGTTTCATTGTAAACGTTTAAATAGCAAGAAGACACGACTTTCTAGTCCAGGATCTACAAAATATATTTTGGGTGGGGATATGAATTTGTTTTTGATATTTTACATGAACGTGTTTTATATCTACATTTAGAAGAAAAAAATAACCAAAATAATACAGCTAAAAGATTGTTTTATAACTGAAAGAAGAAAAAGAATAAACACATTAACCAAAAAATAGAACTATTGGTTAAAGCATAATTAACTGAAAGAATAGAACAGATACCAAAAAAGATTCGAACGAACATAATGTAAGGTAAAAAAAGGAAATATAACACATAGAAAAAGGAAAATTAGAAAACTAAAGAAATGAAAATATAAAAACAGGTAAAAAGAGGCAGGTGGGTATTCGAAACTTGGTTTAGCGGGGTCAAAGAGACCGCGCTTTAGCCTTTAGCCAAATAAACCGCAAGAATCCTTTTGATAAAAAAAAAAACCCCAAGAATCCTATCTACTCCAATGCAAATAAATTTAACTGTAACTTATTGTGGGGGCAACTGCACCCATTCTAGGCTACATAAATCCGTTCATGCATTCTACACATCTTTGGGATTAGTCCGAGTTTTAGACAACATTTGTATTTAGTTTCTAGAGAAAATGAGTTATCTATAAATGTGAACAATATACCATCATGTCATGGCCTCTATTTCTGAGAGTGGCATTGGCAGGTTTGTAGTCTCTGGTAAGCCTTCCAAGATGTGAAACAAGTCTAACTCTTCTGTTCGTAAGATCAATTGGAGATTGCATCTCTCCTTTTCCACACATTTTCCATTCCGGCTTCAGTTTCCCCCATTTCTCTGGCCCGTTCTCTTGATCCCGTTCGTAGCTAAATTCACTTTCATCCTCTACATACATCAATCAATCAATCGTAGTTAACAGTTTTCCAAATAGAAAAATAAACCAAGATCAAATTTATATAGCTTACCAACTTCTCTTTGTGCATTAGAACATGAAATTATGTTGACGATGATGGTGAGAAGTATGAATAATAAGCATTGGATTGATGATTTTCCCATCTTTGTTTTTCAAAGAGAGAAAAGGAAGATAGACTTCTGAGAGGAGATGAGTTGGTTTAGTTGTTTTTAATCTAAGATGCCGACTAGGAACTTGGATGCATGATATAGTGGGTGGGATGATACGTGCATTAGGATTTTAATGATTAGTCGTGCAAGTGAAACGTCACGTTAGTCGTCAAATATTTTCTTCTTTAGTTTTTAATGATTTTTGTTCCAGTCGAGAATACATCTTTGGACCTTGCTGAAACCATGCTTTTTAAATAATTTTGTTCCTAATCGCGACGACAAATTTGGACTTTGCTGAAAACATGTGTTCGTTTCTCTTTCACATTTTTTTCTGTCCAACTAGACATCTCCCTTTGTGAAGATCGAATCCGTCAAACTTCTCTTGTACCTAAGATTTTCTTCTTCGTTTGTTGATTAACCTTGTGACCTTGAGAGAACACAAAAGATGTTTACCCGGTGTTCACCGCACCACTCCTTTAACTAGGAATGGCCATTATACTTTACCGGAGTTGGGATTGAACTAGCAATTGACTATGTCTTTAGCGGATGAACTCACAAGCCAAGCCACCGTCGATCTACAATTGACCTTCTTTCCCTCTCTCTCTTGTTGATCCTAAATTGATCTAACAGCCTAATCAGCTTAGCTTAACCAACCTTTTCTACAGCTAACTAATTAACCCTTATATGAATCGAATCAGCTAACCGTCACACGTGCACAAACCACACGCGTGTTCCTAGTCTAAGAGAGAGAGAGAGAGAGCCCGTTCAAATCAATTTTCAAGCTTAAACCATATTAAACCAAGTCTAACCTAAGCTTTAACAATTGAACCTATAAACCCAGTCAAAGACTTGACTATAACCTTCACCCTTTATACAGGTTTTTCTTGTGTTCATTTTTTTCATTTATCATGCTTTCAATTTTTCAACATGATTTCTGTTCGTACCGACCAAGTTAATGTAGCGAAGCATTTTCCCAAGAACATTTCTGTAGATTTTTTGGGTAAAGATTGTTGGGATTCGGGACTATGTCAGAGACTATATCAAAGAATCTATTAAGGACTTTGTCAGGATTTGGTGATGGAAATTAAACAAGATCACATAAATTAAACCAAGACAAGGACGTCATATTAGGAAAGTGAAATATCACTTTTATGGAGATATGAAAGTTGGTAGGATCCTGGAATTCATGAAATTATGGAAGTTGGAAGTATTTTGAAAATATTTCTAATCCAACTAGGTTAATGTTTTCTAATCCAACTAGGTTAATGTAATAGACTCCTACTATATAAGGGGAGTTCGTGTGTTCTATTATCTCTCGTCCTGAGAAGGTCCACTGTGACCGGTCCTTTGTGACCAAGCAATCCGGCTTGTGGCTTGTGAGAAAAAGAGAGAGGTGTTGTGTCTTTTACTTGAGATTATAGTGAATTACCTCTTGCTGAGCCCAGTGGACGTAACCATTCTAGGTGAACCTTGGGTAAACAAATACATGTGTCTATCTTCTATCTTTTTCACATTCTTCTTCCTATCTCCATTATTCTACAAACTCAAACTTTCTTACTTGAGTCGTCTAGTTCGTCAGAGAGTGTATCAACAAGTTTGTGTGTTTGATTCTAGTTCTTGAATTAAACTGATTCGCCGTTGTGGTTCAACAAAGTGGTATTAGAGCCTTGGTTGGTGTGGTTGTCAATGGCGAATGCAAGAAGTGAAGTGAAGAAGTTTTGTTGGGAAGGGTGGCTCTCATTGTGGAAGAAGAGGAAGCTTACACATCTGTATTTCCTTGGTTTAAAGGATGTGTTAGAAGAGTCTACATCACCTTCTGCGTGAGCGATTCAGACGGATGAAGACAAAGATGTATACAGGGAACGGTTGGTGAAAGATGAAGCTGAAAGGCTTGAAAGATCTGAGACGGTGATAAATGTGATCAGTCTCAGTGTGGGAAATCATGTGTTAAGGAAGATTGTGTTGTGTATGTCAACCGCATCTTCATGGTGTACACTGGAGAGGTTATATCTTTCCAAGAATCTACCGGATAGAATTCACTTGCAGTATATATTTTATACTAGGGTCTGGCCCGCCCTACGGGAGGGTTAGTAATTGAAAAAAATATAAAATATATAATAAATTTTATTGAATATTTTAAAATGATTAGTGTACTATAAATTGAAATAATCTCTATTCATTACGTAAGATTTGATATTTTTATTACAGGAAAAGCTTAAAATTATAATACAAAAGATTACAATTATACATATATTTCAAATTCTACAAATAACAATATGTTTTTACATGTTATCTATTTTGAGATATCTTAATGTTATATATTATGGCATTTTCCGGGTAATAGTGATATTTTTGAAATGATGTTTTTTATATTTTTAGCATATTTTTTTCAGCATATGTTTTGAATTTTTTTTTGTTGAAAACTTAAAATGTTGATAAATACCCACATAATATTTTTTTTTTCACTTTTTAAACAGTTTGTCGAGTGGAATGATAAATCTGATCACCTCTTATCCAACCACTTCGTTAAACACTCCTATCTTAGTTGGCTACATCCGCCTTAAACAGATAAAAGTTACATATTCGCTTCTGATTGTTTTCTATTTTGTTATATATATTATAGTCTTTTTCTTTATTTTTATTAACTATTCTCTTTCTACACTTAATATTTATTGCATATGATATACTTTTTAATTGTTTTCCTCGAAATATAGAATATACTATTCTTGAAAAGTTTGCAATGTACAAAAAGATATTTCCTTGTTTCAAAATTGTAATATATTGAAAATTAAAAAAAAAAGTACTACAATTTAAATAATGAATGCCAAAAGGATATTTTCAACAAATAAAATATTTTAATTTTTAAAAGTGTAATATACTTGAGTGTTGAACATGACTATTGTAATGTAGATACTGAATGCGAAAAAATTTTAAATTCAAGTTATATTATATTTTATAGAGTGGGATTAAATTAATATGATGTTATCAACATACACATAACTACTGATCTTTTAGTAACATAGGATGAAACATTATACAACAAAAAATATGGAGCTCATATTTTATTTATCACAGAGTCATCACGTTGCCAAAATGTTATTATGAATTTATCCGGCCACCACTTTATGTCAAGAGATAAGTTTTTTTTTTATGTTGGTAACTGTGTGAAACTTTGAAAAAGATGGATCAGACATGAATTTAGAATAATGATCCACGAAACAAAGAAACATAAGAGTTAATTAAACTTTGATTTTGCAACTAAAAAAATGACATGTGTCACAATTTTAGATATTGATGAGGTGGCTTCATGAGAAGAGAGTATGTTCTCCTTTATATATATAGATATATATATATATATATATATATATATATAGATATTCCAGATGGTTGGTAGTCTGACTATAAAGGGGAATATCGATGCCTTCTTGAAGATCGTGTCTTACCTGTCAAGTGTGACTGTAACTGTGTAAGAGGAGGTAAAAGCGATTCTGCTCATGAATTCACTACCTTCACAGTTCGACTCTCTTTAGGAAACGCTTATGTACGAAAAGGATATTGTGCCATTGGAAGAGGTGATGAGTGCTGCAAGGTCTAAATATCAGGGTCTTAAAACTTCTAGGGTTTCACATGGTGATGGTGAAGGATATTATGCTAGAGGCGACTCTGAGATAAAAGATCATATGAGGAAAGATAAGGTCGGTTCTAGATCAAGCTTAGGGTCTAGAATTACCTGATGGTTCTGCAAGAAGTAGGGGAACACATGGAATTATTGTTGTGTTACAAAGAAGAAGTATGGCAAAGAATATGAAGCAGCGGCTGTGATGGTTCCTGATTCAGAGGGTGATTCATCATCAGTAAGCGTCATGATTCAAAGGGTGATGCACTATCGGTAAGAGATAAGCAGTGTCATGATAAGTGGGTGATTGATTCTGGATGTTCTTACTACATGATATGTAGAAGGGATTGTTTTCCACATGGTTCAAGAGCTGCCTTCGGGGAAAGTACTTCTTGACAATGATTGCACGGTAGGAGTGCAATTGATTGGTACAATCAACAAAGCTTATGAAGGTTTGGTCAAGACACTCACAGATGTCAGGTATATTCCGTAACTTAGAAGGAACCTGGTATCTTCTGGAACCTCGGTTGTATTAGGATTTGAGACATGGGAAGACTAGGTTTTACAATCATGGTAAACTAGCTCTTCAGGCAATCTTGTCTGGGTCATTGTACTTGTTAGATGGAGAAACTGCGTTAGGTGATATAAATAACAGCGTCAGGAAAAAATCATCTATAGATGAGACAATCTTGTGGCATAGATGTCTTGAGAACATGAGTATGAAGAATCTACAGATTTTGTCCCCATAAGGGGGGGGTGATCGATAAAGAGAACGATTAGAGGTTTGGAGTTCTGTGTAGTTTGGGAAACATGATACATGTGAAGCTCTTAGGTATGTACATGCGGTTTTGTGTGTGGATTTCCAAATGTAATTTCAAGTCTGGTGTGGATGTTATCCTCAAGGTGACCTTGTGAATGGTGCCATGTGGTTTTGTTGTCGAAACTCTTCTTAATGAGGGGAGTTAAGCGGTGTGTTCCGTTGGTACAGACGGCGGTGCAAGATGGGTGTCAGGTTTCACTGGAAGGTTGAAGATTCATTGGTTTAGATGGTCTTTGGTTTAGGAGAGTGGTTATAATGATGTAATCCACGATTTTATATTATCGATGAGGATACTACTTCAAACCGGAAGTTAAGACTTCAGGTGCAGCTATTGACGAAAAAACTGATATAGTTGTTGACGTGGATGCTGAAAAAGGTGACACTGCATCAGACCAGAAGTTGAGACTTCAGGTTGAACTATTGACGAAACAACTGACATAGCTTTTTATGCAGATGTTGAACAAGGTGAAAGTCTTGAAGGATGTCGGCTAGGAATGTACAAAGTATGAAGAAGATTAGTATCGCCAGCACGGTACTCTGAGTCCGAGGATATAACAG